ATGTTTAGCGTGTCAATCGTCATTTCCGGCTAATCTTTAACCGTATCTTTAAATTATCTGTTTATAATGAGTCAATGACTACATTTATTGTTTCTATATATAAGCTAAAACGGAGATATAAATCACCGGATCTAACAATTATATGTGCAAAAATGTAGCTAATCGAAGGAGTTGTGAGAAATGAAACCATAATATATTTTTTGTGTATCAATGGAGCTATATTATTTCTGGTTAATATCTTTTTAATGTCCTTGACAGAAAATTCGCACTCTTTGTTGCAAGTGAACAAAACTCCCTATACTGGAAATAAGATGAAATTAAAACATATTTAACGCCTACTTTGCAATAATCGACTGTTAGACAATAAATAATGTGTTTTTTACTAAACATTCCTTATATCACTACAGAGAGTTATTATCTATGACTGTAAAATCTCGTGAATGGAACGGAGGTAACATCTCGTCAATACAATGCTTCATCCCGTCCATACAATACTTCATCCAGACAATACAGTACTTCATGCCGTTATACAATACTTCACCCAGACAATACAATACTTCATCCAGACAATATAATACTTCATCCAGACAATACTTCATCTCGTCAATACAATGCGTCATCCCTTCCATACAATACTTCATCCGGATAATACAATACTTCATCCAGACAATACAATACTTCATCTAGACAATACAATACTTCATCCCGTCCATACAATATACTTCATCCAGACAATATAATACTTCATCTAGACAATACAATACTTCATCCCGTCCATACAATATACTTCATCCAGACAATATAATACTTCATCCAAACATTACAATACTTCATTCCGACCATACAATACTCCATCCCGGCAATACAATACTGCGTGTGCCTTTTTTCAGTTTGTCCAATCCGTCTAACCATTCCCGGGTCACCCTCTTGATAAAAAAGAAATGTGACTTATACCACATTAGACGTTACATATAACTATGACTCAATAGCAACCAAAATACATTTAGTAATTTTCTATAACGCCATTAAGTAAGATGTCCGGCAAAAGATTATGAACCCTCTTGATAACGGTTTTTCACACATCATCTACTCTCGATTTCGAAATATAAAAAAAAATTCATTTAGTTTTATACTTTGTCCATCCAAAAAGGTATTGACGAGACTCTGTTCATTTTAATAAGGATCACCCACGTTACCATTGGTGTATTGACAGAACATAATATCTTATCATTCTAGTCATAAACGATATTGCGGGTTGGGTGGCCGAATGATTAACGTTTATAACAAGGTCTGTCATTGAGTCAAGCGGCGAGGTTTTGAACCCCCGCTTGTACATAGCAAGGAGTAAAGTCGCCTGTCCAACCTCGTGAGTTTTCTCCGGGTCCTCTGGTTTCCTCACACCCCTAAAGACCCGTATGCGCTAGCGAATTACTGAAATAAAATTGAGTCATGTGTTAGTTCCGAAATGACATAGTTTGTGTAGAGTGGACGTTAAAAACCATTTCTCTCTCTCTCTCCCCCTCCCCCTCTCTCTCTCCAGTGGCGGCGCCGGCCGTCGGTGATTGGAGGGGCAAAGCTGGGGCAAAAGTCAAAGGTTAAAGGGGCAAAGGCACGAGCTTCAATTAGGGGTAGGGGGCCTCCCTCAGAAAATTTTGAAAAACAGGTTGCCGGAAATGGAGCCTGGCAGTATTTCAGGCACTAATCGATGAGGTAAAGTGTCAAACGAACGGACTTGCGAATCACGACGAAGCCCACTCACGAGCGTCAAAGTAGGGAGTCTTGCCCCAGAAAATTTTGAAAAATAGACTGCCGAAAATGCTGTCTTACAGTATTCTGTCAGACACCAATCGTCGAGATAAATAGATCTGCCCAGATACCGTTCGTCGCCTGATCACTAGTTTATCCGACTAGAGAACAAACTGTCAAACGAACGGACTCATAGACGTTTCATACATTTTAGATAACAAGTATCAATTACAGTTTAAAGTTAATCTAAACAAAATTTCACTGTCTGTCTAAAGTTTTTAGAATCGTATTAGATCAAACACGCAAATTCCTTCTTTATGTGCGTGTTTTAAATAGTTTCTTAATTGTATATTCTTCGGGTTATTTAAACCATACTTAACTACATTGCGTGACTCTTTTGTTAGTATACAAACTGCTACTTCCGTAAGAACAAAAAAGAGAAAAAAGCCATTATTAGCCTTTGAAAGAACATCAATGACACAGGCCTACGCTATCATAAATAAATCAATTTGAATTCTGTCCTATATTGAATTATGCCAACTGATTTGAACCTGAAGATAAAGGAAGAAAACTACAATAAATGATCATAACTTAATTAAGCAATAAATATTCAATACTATACACCATCCTTTTTGTCTAATGTCTCAGAAATCTGACGTCTTACAACTGGTGTTTTACATGTGACCACGCCAAGGGTTTATATTAACATTTGAAATGTCTATTGTTCCAATCCAATTTACCAGTTATATAATTTGTTAAGAAGAAAATTAGAAGGATGGGTGGTTGAGATTATCACCCGTCTAGCAAACTCTAAAGATATGTATCATATATCATTAAACTTTAATATTATACACACCTACAATTGAATCAATAATGCTGGAAAAATATGGGAGGTTACGGTGGCTAAGTGGGTAAGACGCTGGCTCGCTAGCCTGGAGGTGGGGTGTTCGATCCCTGCATTGGCCGAAAAAGTTCATCCAGATTTTCCGGAGTGGTACACCGTTGTCAGTGATGCACGATGGTGGACATCTGTCTAGTTGTTCGGATGTGTAGAAAAATCGAGGTCCGGATTACACATTGGCGTGCACGTAAAATATCCCTTGACAGTTGGAATTCGATATAAGAGTAGGCCGTAGTGCCGCTGTCCAGGCAAAATTTCCCTCATAGCAAACTGTATGGCGTATGCCCATCTTCATTAACCCAGTTTAGGAGCAGAACAGTAGGATGTTAAACCCCCTTTCATTTCATGGCAAATATGGATGTCATCTTCCTCCGAGAGACAACAATACCGTTCCATGCTTACAAATAATTGTAGTAGGTTCAGGTCAACACCAAGAGTCCATTCTGAGACGAAAAAACATAATGTTACCATATTGGTATTCAGCTTTAGCGCGGCCGACGTTCTGTTGCGGAGTTACACCCACCCCCTCTGAAAATCTTGTTACCATGACAGACTACAGTCCAATTTGAACCCTATCGATATTTGGCCACCTGCAACCATCTTTTCGGGAATTACACCTAAACCTAACCTCACACGAAAAGCCGAACCCTATTGATATTTGGTTCCACGACTTTACGTTCTAGAGGTTCCCCCCTCCTCTGTCTTTTCTGAAGCCCTTGTTAATGTCACAGAGACTACATGGTATTTAACGGATTCTTTTTCAAAAAGGGTGTGAGGCACTAGGGGATAGAATGAATCGTATTGATTTTCAAATTGGGATTAAAGAGGATGGATCCTGTTGATTTCAGCATTGTTCTAGAGATGTATTGTGAGCCCGAAACACTATAGAGATCGATCATGTTTCGCGAAGACATGGCCTTATCAAACGTTTTCCTGTCGGATAAACTGTTGTCTATGGCCGTTGATATCTTTTTACTTGATACTGTGGCAAGACTTCGGGAATAGCACACTAAAAGCGAAACCATTTCATTATCCATTTCCACTGAATAACAGAAATAGGGGCCGTTTGGTGGGGATTTGGCCTATAAATATCTCTGCCAGGAACTTAAGCATTTCCAGTTTCGTTTTACTGTTCTTAACGATGTACAGCGTAATACATTTTAACGAGTTCGTGCACTGAAAATCAATGCTCAACTTCCATATATGGGTCCTTAGATCTAATACGAATCCTATCATATACTATGCCGTCGCGCGTGTACGTGGTCACGAAATATAAAGGAAGGGAGTTTAACGTTATACCTTTCTGTAACAGCATAAAACTGCTTGATCTTAGTCATATTTTTATACTCCTATATCTTAGTTTGGGCTTATTATGTCCACGCCCCTTGGGTGTTTAAAGCGACAGAGGCTACGGGTTTTAGCGGATTTTTTTTTTCAAATTTGGTGTGAAGCATTGGGGTCATGAGAGTACGAAATTTTTCGGTATTCGTCGGTCCTTTGTATGTTTTGGTTTGTGCGTGAATTTGCCAATTTGACTTAAAGAGCGCACTGTGTTTAACGAACATGACACAGATACACCTCAAATCGTCCCTATGGTCCATCCTATAGGCCTATAACAAGCACCGGGAAAATCTCATCATTCAAGCGCCATTTAATATCACAAACATAATCTAATTTATTCAAATTATTTTTTTTTAATACAACACTGCATGCCATCTTCAATAATTCGGTTGGTATGTGGGACATTGAACCCCATTTAATTTCATTTCAATACTACATAAAGATGTACTGTTTCGTTCGTGTGTTTTCTTTTAATATGACCCTTTAAAATTCAGGAGGGGGTGGGGTACGTTGCCCCCCCCCCCCTCGTCTTCCACCGATCGACGTCAGTGTTAAGTCACATTGTATATCTATTCAAGATAGGCACGTTTATTCAAATACTACATGCTTAGAAAACTGTTATCGTTAGTTTAGTAAGAGTGCTTCCCTATTATAGTTTCGTATTTGACTTTGACAAGCTAAAAGTCAGTTAAATCTTTTCGACACGATGTTTACATACATTGATTTGTTATACAAAGTACAAATATGTAGAGTAGATAGATATATAGGTATATAAAAGTATACCTTTGTTATTTCTTTCACTAAAGAAACTGGCATATAATAATAATAGGCTGATCATAAAGCCGATTAATAACTAGACAGCATTACCAAATACTAGTTTAATAGGTGAATGTGATTGGACAATAGAGGTGTAACACAAGGCTGATCACTTAGCAAAAGAGAATTAAGAAACACAACTAATAACTATTTAGATTCATGTTAGGTGTCGCGGCTAACATTCTTATCGCAGACAGATCATCAATAACGAATAAATAAATCAAGCGTTCAGTTGAGATTTATTATTTCTTATACGATTGCAGTGTATTTTTATTTTAAAAAGTCAACAGACATTTGAAGCGGTATGTAAACATAATGTATTTTTAAGTCTATTAATATATCAGTTATGCAGGACCGTATGCGTCGCTCAATTTTAAATTAAGTCGCACGTTTAGCGATTTTGATTTGAACGTTAAATCTTTCCGATTGTTTGCAAATTGGAATATTTCAAAACTTAAATTGTATTTGGATTAAAAGCTACTGTTTATCGTCGTGTAAACAAATAAAGTTTTCTGTTGTTATACGCCGTTTGTTCGTCATTAAATCTTCTTGGTTGATACCATTGGTGGCATTCAGATGATCATGATTGTACTTTTAGTAGCCATACGTAGTATACTAATATAAATCCTGGCGAACTAGTATAGTCTTTCACGTATAAAGTAGCAGAAAATGCTACAAATATACTATACAAATCAACACTAGAAGGTTCCATACATCTCAAAATTTCTCAGCGCTGGACCCCCCAGTGATAAAATATATAAGCCGAATACAAAAGTTAAGTTACAATGTCCTCGTGGCTTAATTGATTACAAAAAAACAACAACAAAACAAGCATTAATAAGGGGATACCACATACACATACAGTCATACATTCCAACTTACACTTACTCACGTATTTATACATGTGTATCTATATATAGCGCAGATTAGTGCTTATAATCCAGATATATTTATTGTACTATCTTTTATTTCAGATAATAGAAATCCTCACCATGTGAACCAAAGAGAGTATTGCAGATTACTCTTATATCAAGAGGCGACTTGTTGCTTTTTCTAGAACGCTATGTAGGTTTATACTTGGATTGCTCGAAGTTTAAACATTTTAGTAGTTTTGTGATAATTCATTTTACTCATGCTCTAAACGCAGTTGTAGACATTGAATATGATTGTGTCTCGTCAAAGAGTGCCTTCTGTAGGACTGACTGATTCAAAGGCATACCGAAATGGTAAAGATATTACAAATCCCCGAGACTGGTACACTCTACTTTCTGAAAAGGTTCGATGTAGAAATGGTGCAATAGAATACAGTCATCCCGATGACAACAGCTTTTTACCTCAATTAGCCCATGATCTTGATTTGTCATATGAGGCATACAAATCTTCACCCAGAAATGGCTTCAATGTCCATAAATCGCAGGATAGTAAACCACGTTCCGCAAATTTTAAACCGACATCTATGATCAGACAATCTTCCAGTATGCAAGATTTGACCATACTGAGAGAAAAGACGGTTTCAACGCTTACTAGTTTCTACAACAAGGAATTCCCCAATTTTAAAAGGAAGCCAAGCCATGTTACATTTTTGGAGGTAAAGGAGTCAGATCACCATCGTTCAGTTTCTCTTCCAAAGTTAGCACCCAAGAAAATTCCAGGTGTTATACCAGAGACGAGTGTTGTCCAAAATGAAAACGTATTACACAGTCACCAGGAAACACTCGAGGAATGGTTTTCTCAAATGCCAGATGCTACAACAAAGAAGGCCAAACGACAACTCATGGAGCAGAATATACAAGAAAACTTGAAACGCAAGGACCATCGTTCAAACGTCCCATCACCAAATTTAAATAAACCTTTTAAAGGAAATTATGATAATTTTCCTAACGGTTACAACGAATTTCGATCTGAACAAGCTGAAGAACCTATAATTTTAAACAGGGATATTTACCGACTTCAGTTACAATCGCAACTTAAACTTAATGACGGTAGACCGTCTATTCTTGATAAAATTGACAGGAAGAGGTCAGATTATGTTGCCGTGTCTCCTACCAAGAAAGAAGACCCCCAGTTGCGTCACATTGAAGAAATCGAATCCACAGGGGAAGAAGATGCATCAAGCGATGGCATTGACCCAGAGAATGGTTTAGGATTCGATCCCAAAACCTGTCCTTTGTTTATAGTAAGCACAAAGAGAGATTTGCCTTTGGAGGAAGACATTCCAACGAAAACCTTTCATCAAGGTTACATGTTTCGACAAAAGAGACTCAAAAGATTAAAAAACGCTACGTCCCAAAGAGTAAAAGAAAAGCCACATTTTATTTTAAAAGGTGAAATGGATAAGAATAATGAACACAATGCGATTGTTCTTAGTTTTGATGAACAGCAGTACTGTCCTCTTTCAAGGCAACCAAGGCACATTATTGAATCGATCAATCGCCAAAAAGTGGAACCAAAAAATCTCAAAAATCCGATATGGATGAATCAAACTGAAAACGGAGACGCAATCTCTCAAAATAATCAAATAACGCGAACGTTCATGACTGGGAATCTTGTTGATACTGGTGATAAAAGTCCGGTACAGAGCGATGAAAGGAAAGCTCGATTAGCCAAATATAAAAAACTGGAAGTTTTCAGCGAAAACAGACGAAACGAATGCGAACAAAAGTCTGATGACAGACTTGTCCAAATAAACTTTAAAAAAGAGATTCCACGAAGTCATCCACCCGTATTTAGGCTGGACCCACGCTCCATCTTGAAAGAGGATATGGACAATGTGGTCAAAAACGAAAACGGTAATTCAGACAACAATACAGTGCCTATGCGAATTGTCAAAGGTGTGGTTATTGTTGGAAGTGCTAAAAAGTAACGATAAAGTGATTTTTATTTAAAGATACTTTATGTGAGATTAGTTTAGATAAAGAGCTGAAAGTTCTCGCTATAATAGTTAAAAACTAGATAATGTAAAGGGAATTTGCTGAAAATTTCAGTCAAATTAATCCACTCTGAATCGAGAATTTAGCGAATGAATTTTCAGCCTAGCCTCGATGATCAATACTAAAGTCGGTACGATAAAAAAACATAGTCTCGATTATCCATTTCATGATTAAATCATGAATGAAAGTCGACCAGCAAATCGGATCCTAATCCAGTAAATATCGCAGGATAGCGATGACATCGAGAGTAGATTATGGTCTGGATAAGTTAATTAATGTCTAATTAATAATTTAGATAACATTTCAGGCCTAAAGAAAGACTTGAAATAGGCAGATTTAGCTGTTGCATAAAGTATGTTTAATTAGCCGCCTGTGCCAATATGTCGAAACAGTGTGTATTAAACTATTTGTTTGTTCTTGTGGATGAATTGTTATAGAATATAATGCTGGAAAACCGAGAGTGGTTATTTATTTGATTAATGTATCCCGGCGTAAATACTATACACGGTCAAAATTGGGCCGAAATATTGAGGTCAATAAGGTTAATATCCTTAAGAGTGGTTTAATGGTCGAGAACGAGACATTGCGTAATATATTGAAACAACACACAATTACACAATGTTTTAAGCTCGAGACCATTAAACAACTTAAATACAGACACTCGCACGTGCTTTGCAATGAACTACGTCACATGGGTCCAAAATTTTAACTAGTATAAATAATGTACGCTTGGCACATTACCTGTACAATTATTTGAAATAATGATACGCCATCATCAAATGATGACGTCACATCTGTATTTTAAATATTACTAAAATCTACACTTCCCATACCCAACACTGTGAACATTACGATGTTTGAGGTATTCGTTTTTTAAATCCATCGGAGTTGGATTGAGGCGCATTATTTTTGCTCTTGAAATAACGAAAACAATAAATTGAAATGAAAATGAAATGAAATGGGGTTTAACGTCCTACTGTTCTGCTCAGAACTTGGCTAATGAAGATGCGGGGCATATGCCATACACTGTGCTATGATGGAAATATTGCCCGGACTACGGCCTACTACTATATATCGAATTCCAACTGTCAGGGGATCTTTTACGTACACGCCAATGTGTACACGGGACCTCGGTTTTTCGTCCCATCCGTAAGACTAGACAACTGGTCTTGTCAGGCCCTTCGTCCTGCATCACTGACAAGGTAGAACCACGACGGAAAATCTGGATGAAATTTCTCGGCCAATGCAGGGATCGAACACCCAGTCTCTAAGTGGGGGGGGGGGCAAATGGTTAGCACGTGCGTGCTGTATCATACGGCCTGTCATTTAGTCAACTGGCGTGGTTTCGAATCCCCTGTTGTACGTGACAAGGAGTAGGGTCGCCTGTCCAACCTCGTGGGTTTTCTCCGTGTCCTCCGGGTCTTCCGGTTTCCTCCCACTGCTAAAGACCCCTACGCGCAAGCAAATTATGGAAATAAAATTAAACCATATGTTAGTCCCGAAATGACCTAGTTTGTGTCGAGTGGACGTTAAACCCCATTTCTCTCTCTCTCTCCCCAACCTCTAGACTAGCGAGCCAGCGTCTTACCCACCTAGCCACCGTGATCTCCAACAATGAATTGATGCTATGATTAAAGTAGCGGTATTACAGTAATCAATTCTCGTCCTTTGGGAGACGAGGGGTGTGGGGGGGGGGGGGGTATTTTTAACCTCGAATTAAAAGATGCCTCCCAGCGTACAAACTGTTTGATTTGATTTGCTTCAAACCCCAGTCAAAACATTCGAATCTGAAGAAAGCAACCCCATGTAGCGAGAATCAGCTCTGTTTATCGCATGACTTGATTGATGGAGAATCCATTTCAGCTTGCATTTATCGTGAGTCTATTTACAATAAATATCGAAGCCTAAGTAAATTACTGAATTATCCTCTGTCAACTCGTTTTTCTACTGTTTAATCGCAGATTCTACTGGCTGTTTAATTTTATCAATGTTCACACAACCGTCAGTCATATGAGCGAGGTCATATAGGATATGCCTGTTCCTCCTCAATTCCTTTAAATTTCTGAATAAAATATTGTTTTAAGAACACACACACACACACACACCCGAAACACTCCTTAAGTCACTCGTGGAGACAGACCGACTTTATTTTTAGAGATATCCTCACATTTTTGTCTTGTGCGCGCCCCTCGGGTGTTTTTCAGGAAATCTAATATTTTTGTAGTAGGATCGGGTGTACCAAAATTGTCATAATTTTAAAATTAAATATCTACCCGATAAAGACTTTCCAGGTAATGTATCTGTTTGATGAATTGGCAAGAAAATCAGTCTCTGGGGGTTTGATACTCAGGATTTTCTCTTAAAAGCACCATTTACAATCAGTTTTACAAAAGGATTATCGCGATTATGGCCATTCTCAGGGGCTTTCAACCTCCTATATCTACCTCTGAATATCATAAGTAAACAGTAATTCGATTACGTTTCTATTGATTTTAATGCCAAGGAAACTTAAAGCCAAACTGAGTACAAGTCAACACAGGCCCAGTGGACCGCAAATCCTTTCATATTGGTACAGCTTCCACATGGTTTACAATGATCACTTGTCTCATTGCTGTAAGTGCATTCGGGTTAAAATGTCGGGTTGTCGCACAGGCACTTGAAGGGATTAAAATAAAATTCCTTACTACTGTTTGACTATATATTATAATATTAACAAGTTTATCACCCGCCATTTTGTTTTGACTCGTTGACTCGTTGACGACATTTCATCTGCTATCTTCTCACAATACTCACTAGTTCTAACACTACCCTTCGTTTTTATTGCCAAAGAGACTTCTTTGATCCTTATACAACTTCCAATGTGATTAAATTTGTCATTTTACAGCGTTATTAATTACAAATCAACCCTGAAGCGCTATCACTTGGCGATTATCAACTTCGTGATAAACGTAAAATTAAATGGGGTTTAACGTCCTACTGTTCTGCTCCTATACTGGGCTAATGAAGACGGGCATACGCCATACAGTGTGCTATGAGGGAATATTTTGCCCGGGCAGCGGCACTATCGCCTACTCTTATATCGAATTCCAACTGCCAAGGGATCTTTTACGTGCATTCTAATGTATACACGGGACCTCGGTTTTTCGTCTCATCCGAAGGACTAGACAGCTGTCCTTGTCAGGCCCTCCGTTCTGCACCACTGACAAGGGGAAACCACGTCGGAAAATCAGGATGAACTTTCTCGGCCAATGCAGGGATCGAACACCCGACCTCCAGGCTAGCGAGCCAGCGTCTTAACCATCTAGCCACCGTGGCTCCCTCGTGATAAACGTCGTTAATACTGTACTATATAGTCAAACAGTGGTACGAAATTTTATTTAAACCCCTTCAAGTGCTTGTGTGTTGTCGGGTTATCGACCATATTCCCCTCAATACTGTGATACTGATCCTGGTGTTGGTCAAGAAAGTTCCCGGTGATTTTGCAGGGTGGTTCCTCCCTGTCGGTAGTGCAGGACAAAGGTCCTGACAAAGAACAGTATCTAGTTGTGTAGATGGGACAAAAAAAACAAGCTGCTGTGTACACATCGGCGTGCACATAAAAGAATCCTTCACAGTAATTGAAATACGATGAAGAAATGAAACGCGGTCCATTGAAAATTTCCGTCATATCACTCTGCATCTTCAATAGTCCGATTGTTGCAGAAAAGTAGGAAAATGAAATGAAATGGAGTTTAACGTGCCACTGTTTTGCTCCGGTAGCTCAGTAAGTAAAGGCGCTGGCTCGCTAGCCTGGAGGTCGCGGGCTTGCTCCCGGTGTTGGCCGAGAAAGTTCATCGAGATTTTCCGATGTCAGGGGGGCAGCAAGGAGGGCCTGACAAAGACAGCTGTCTAGTCGTTCGGATGGGAAGAAAACCCGAGGTCCCGTGCATACATTGGCGTGCATGTAAAAGATTTCTTAGCAGTTGGAAATCGATATAAGAGGGGATCTAGTGCCGATGTCTGTCCAAAATTTCTCTCATAGCACACTGTATGGCGTAAGCCCGTCTCCATTAGCCCTGTCGGAGCAGATCACTAGGGGCGTAAGCCCGTCTTCATTAGCCCTGTCGGAGCAGAACAGTAGGACGTTCAACTCCATTCCATTTCATTTCGCTCTTGTCCGACTAGACTAATGAAGACGGACATATGCTATACAGTTTACTATGAGGGGAAACTTTTCCCGGATAGCGGCGTTATTGAATTCTGTCAGGGTCAGGAAATCTTTTACGTGAACATGTCGTGATACCGGGTTGTCGTAGTGTCGGGTTAAAATGTCTTTATGTCGGGTTTTCGTCTTATGAAGGGTGACACCACGACATCACGACATGATGCCAATCAGCCACGATAGAGACACGATTTCTGTTCATTTAGATGTATAGTATCAGAGTGGGGTTTAACCGGCGGCAATGCTTCGCAGTTTTGTTTGTTAGACGTTGTCTTGACTACAATTGGAAACATTCACTGATGCTTTACGCAATTAAATATAGCCTCAAACGATTAGCTTTAACGCATATCTTAATAATTTGTACTGATATAAATGCTTTCATCATAATTAATGATGTATATACCATTAAAATAGTCACCGGTCAGTTTCACCTTGGGGTAATACTTTTTACATTTTTGATTCGATATATTTTATGTACACAAATGGCCATAACGTTGCCCACGTAAAATCTTAAGAAGAGGTTGGAGTTTTCATTATCATAGAATTATGCGGCAATGTTTCACTTTTATTTCAATGCGGATTAGTATTAGTTAATTATATGTTAAGCTATGTGTACATGTTAAGCCATGGCATACCATACCTCGACAGTTGTTTTGGTTGAGGGATTATGATTTTAAAAGTCCTCAAAATCTTAACATAAACATACTTAGCAACAACAAAGAACTAAACGACCTACGAGTAAAGCAAAGACAAGCATCAACAGGGACTGGTATGCGGAATTCGGAAAAGAAAAGGTTGCAAACTGCGAACTTATTAATATCGAAACGGAATTCAGAGAAAATTGGATACCAGCCCCAGTCAGAGTCAGTCGATCAACAGCAGCGTTGATTGGTTCCTTGTCCCAGTGACCGTAGATTGAGCGTGATTGGTCCTTAGTATCGCTGGATCTGGGTGGAACAAAGGAAGAGCAGCAGGAAAAGAGGGCGTGATATTGTCAATAGGACAATGGGAATATGATGTCATTGAGTATTTGTGGTGAAATGAAATAGGATTTAAAGTCCACTGTACTGCTCCGACCGGGCTATTGAAGGCGGGATAACTTGAGGTAACTCGTAATTCGGGGGCACCTTTTCAGAAGGGAGGGCACATAGCTATTAACCCCGCCCGCCACCTGTACCCTGTATTTATGAAAGCAGGTTAGGCGCCTGCCTACCCACCCAGCACGCATCTGACTTGTAACATTTTTGTAATAAAACCTGCACAAAAAGGATATCCTTAGAACTATCCACTACTGTGGCTGGAGTCAAGGACGGAAGTTATCAGCAGTGGAACCATTTCTATACATACGCCTGGCTTATTGAGTTTTACGGGTGGTTGACCCAATGCAATCTTGCAGGTTCATATACAAAGTATTGCGAGCAAAATTCACATTTTCTCTTCATTTCTTAACATATATTTTCACTTATAACATGAACTTGTATTTCATGTTTCGCATTCTTATATATAGGTATTTTATTATTTATTTTATGTTCTATAACACGTGCGATGTATATGAATTCTATGCGGCCTGAAATAGGTGTTGTGATACAATAAAATCTTTTCTTATCTTATAGATATAAGGGAGGTAAATTCATTTATTATATCAG